AGTATTAACTAAAGTAACTAACTAACTTAGTACTATAACTAAATTAAATTAAGTAGAAGTACACACTACTTAGTACTAAACTAAACTAAATTAGTAGATAGTATCTCTCTCTCTCTCTCTCTCTCTCTCTCTCTCTCTCTCTCTCTCTCTCTCTCTTTCTCCCTCCCCTCCCCTCCCCCCCCTCCCTTCCTTGCACAGCAACAATATTTTGACAGCGCACTTTTTTGGACAGTGCTAACTCTCCCCCCCCCCACAAAAAAAAAAAAGTCGCTCTCTCCCCCCTTGCTCTACTTTCTCTACCTCTCATCCTGCACTCTTCTTTGTTCTTTCTTCACTTTGTTATTATTGTTCTTGTGAAGGAGCACCTCGTTTGTGGGATGCCGTAGCACCTCACCTCTCGTGACCATTTTTTTACTATACTATTTTAGTAATATATTGTCACCTTTGTACCAAAAAAAACAAAAAAGAAAAAAAAGGAGAATATTCTACAGAAAATCCTACTCCAAAATTCCACTTCAAATTGTTTTGGCTCAATGAAAAGACATCTTTATGTACTAGATAAACTGAACCTGAAGATTAATGTGTGCCATATTACACCAACAGATGCATACTCAGATTGATTTCCCCTCAGTGTTAGCATAGAAAATCACCAATACCCACCAGGCCAATAGTGGGTGCACAAACAATTTATTCTTGGGCCTAAAGATTGTCCGTCAAACAAAGCTGCTCTTCTTGAGCAACTCATGCCCATAATTCATAGACAGACTCTTCTCGATCAACTCATGCCCATAATGCACAGACAAACTTATATCTGACATGTATTGATGAGGTTAAGAAAGACCTTGAAGAGTTTTCGGCCTTGTCATCACAAGCCTCTCGTCACATAATTTTGATATTCAATAACCGTTTTTTTTTTTTCACTTTTCTTCCCAATTTGTGTTTTTTTTTTCACTTGCTAGAATTTTAATATTCAATGACCGTTTATTAAAGAGATGGCAAGGCAACATCCTGTGACCCATTAAAATCAGTCTCAATCCTTGAAGTATCAAGCAAGAGCTTTCTTTCTGGTTTTGCTGTCCAGGTTGAGATAAGGTGGGAAGTTGCTACTTTAAATCTATCATCATCATTTGGAGTTTGGGGTTTTCCAATTGGTAGGAAAGGTTAGGCCTTTCTCCCCTTGCCTCCCTTGATGCCTCTTCGAGTTCCTTTGCCATTAAGGGACAAAGCAACGTACCATGGATTATTACTGCAAATTTTTCGCTTTTCTTAGAAAGAAATACACCCCATCCTAAACAACTACACTAGGGGTGGCAATCGGGGTCGACACCAACCGGATCCAGGTCCATGTTTTGAACCCAGCTGGTTGGGTCTGGGTCCAAATGACTTGGACCAGCCCAGGTCGGGACGGGGTCCAGATTGAACTGGCATAAAATACATATACGAAATAGTATATAAATAAAACAAGTAATCTATAAAATTTCTAGATCTAGGTCCGGGTCCAAGTTACTTGGACCCAACCAAGGTCCTGGTTGACCTGGACGCAACCTGACCCATTGACAAGGAAATCTGCATTTTAGTGCCATTTATAGTTTGAGAGGAGCTAACAGGGCTTCAATCATCGTGCTTGTATTACAATGTAGAGCAAGTACATAACGAATAGAGAATGTTATAACTCATAGCATATAAACAATAAATAGACAATAAAGAGATGTCTAGCCTTCCATACGGTGCGACTCCTATAATAAAAGCAGCAAGAGTTCACATACCCCCTCCCCCCAAAAAAAAGAAGCTAAGAGTTGTTGGTAGAATTTGATGAGTTTTTCCTGTTACGTATCTACAACAAGGATGATCTAAGGATGGGTATGAGTGACAGATTGCAGGATAAAGCTTCGGACTAACCTCATTTCTCATTCCATGCAATGGTGTGTAGATTCATCCATTCTTTCCTAATACCATCTCATCATCATTGATACATTAAGAAAGATCCATTGCATTGACGCCATTTCTTTATTGATGCTGAAACAAAGTTTTATTAATGAGTGAAAAACTTCAAGAATTTGGGGTCTAATCAAATCTATTTCTACATCTTTTGTGATCTTATGTATATAGAAAATTAAAATACACCAGAGATTTTCTTTATTTACTGCAGATAAAGGGATTGTCAAATGTCAAGGAAGAAGTTTATGGGGCTCTTGATTCATTCATTGCTTGGGAGTTAGAGTTCCCTCTTATTGTAGTCAAGAAAGCACTTAAGATACTTCAAAATGAAAAGGAGTGGAAGCGTATCATCCAGGTAAAATTTATTTTTCTTCTTTGTAAAAATAGTTTTCTTTTTCTTCTCCTTCTTGTTTTTCCCTTTGTTCTCATAAGTTGGAACTTGAAAGTACTACTATATATTGCACTATTATTTTTTGGGTGTTTGATCTTACTTCATTTGCACTTGACCTCTTACTTTCTTGGCTGTTGGCCAAGCTAGCATTGATCTTCATAGTATACCTTTGTGCTACTGACCGTCAAAGGTATTGTCAAATTTTAAGGTAACAAAGTGGATGTTGAGCAAGGGTCAAGGAAAGACCATGGGAAGCTATTATACCCTACTGAATGCTTTAATTGAAGATGGAAGACTTGAAGAAGCTGAGGAACTTTGGACCAAGATATTTTCGGAAAATTTAGAAGGCTTGCCGCGAATCTTTTTTCATCTCATCATTTCGGTTTACTATAAGAACAACATGCATGATAAGATGTTTGAGGTGAAATTTCACAAAGCATATCTTTTCATCATTACGACACTTGCCGGCGCTAAAAGATGTTTGAGCTTGTCATTCTTATTTTCCCGCACTATAGTTTTGTTTTATATGCAGTGGTAAGAGATTCTCAATGTATATGCTATGAGATTTGTTTTTGTTTTCACCTTAACATGACTCTTTGCCCTAAGATTATGAGCATGGGTATCTATAAATGCTGGTTAAGTGAAGATTGTTGGAAGAGATGTTTTTTATTTTATTTTTATTTTTATTTTTATTTATTTATTTATTTATGTTGTTTGTTGTTTTTATTTTTATTTTTTGGGTGTTGGGGGGGGGGGGGCAAGAATTCCTTACTGTATAGCACCACATTTTGATCTTTTGAAGTCATGTTTTCCTTAGTTGGATATGTGTAAACGTTTTACCATTGTAATAGTCTATGGAAATTATAGGTCTTGTTGATAATGCAAAATGCCCCAATTATAAGCAACCTGAATAAGTTGGTTCCTCTTAGTGCAACCTGAATAAGTTGGTTCCTCTTAGTGCATGGAGCCTAAACTAGGAGAGAGTTTGACTACCCAACATAGGCTCGTGGTTATAAACGTCTACATAAAGACATGGAAGAGAAAGGGTGAAATTAATAAGTTTCCAAGAACTAGGCGGTGGAATTAAAAAATGAGAAAATAAACTTATGTAGGGATAAATTAGTTAAAGAAGGAAAATGAAACTCTGAGCATGAGGTCAATGTTATGTGTAATGAGAGGACTGACTGTATTAAGTGTGGCAAAAGAAATTTTAAGAGAATCTAGAGGGAAAAAAGATTCTGATAAGGAAATTGGATGGTGGAGTGATGAGGTTCAGAAGGCCTTAGCGAAAAACGATCATGTTATAAACTTGGCAATGTAATAGAAATTATCAAAACTTTGAAGAATATAAAAATGCTAAGAATACAGTAAACAAATAGTGAGGCTAAACTTAAGGCATATGATAATTTATTTTGTAAACTGGGAACAAGAAAAGGTGAAAAAGATGTCTTCAAATTAACAAAAATGAGAGAGAAAAATATAGGGATCTAGACCATATTAAATGCATTAAGAGTGACGATCAAAGGGTCTTGGTGAAGGATGAAGAGGTCAAGGATGAAGAGGTCAATGGAAGTTGGAAATTTTATTTTAAAAAATTATTAAATGACGAATGCAATGGGAATATTGCAGTAGAAGGAACCGTTGGCATAAATGAGGGCGGAGATCATTTATACATCGTAGGATCAGGATATCGAACGTGAAAGAAGCTCTGAAGAGGATGAAGATAGGGAAGGCTTTACGACCAGATGGTGTCCCGATATTGGTTTGGAAGTGCTTGGGGGAGATTGACATTGACTGGCTTATTAAGTTGTTCAATAAGGTGTTGAGAACAAATAAAATGGTAGATGTATAAAAAAAAGTATTGTTGTACCTATTTACAAAAACAAAGGAGATATACAGAATTGTGTTAACAATCGAGGGATCAAACTTATGAGCCACACTATGAAGCTGTGGGAGAGAGTGATTGAGCAATCGCCGAAGGCATGAAACTAGTGTATCAGAAAATCAATTCAGTTTTATACCCTGGAGGTCAATAACTAAGGCTGTTTTCTTACTTAGGCTACTGATTGAGGAGTTTAAGATAAAGGGAAAAGACCTCCACGTGGTCTTTATTGATCTAGAGAAAGCTTATGATAGAGTACCTTGAGATTTGATTCGGTGGGTATTGGAAAAGAAAGGAGTATCCGGACACTATATCGACTTGGTGAAAAATATGTACGAGGGAGCGCTAACTAGTGTACAAACAAATAGTGGGATAGGTCTACATCATGGGTTTGCATTGAGCCCATACGTCTTTGTTTTGGTTATGGATGACTTAACTAGGTAACCACAAAATGAGGTACTGTGGTGCATGTTGTTTGCAGATGACATAGTTTTGATCGATGAAACTGGATAAGGTGTCAACAAACTTTAGAGGGATGCTCTAGACTTCAAGGGTTTTAAACTAGCCGGACTAAGAAAGAGTATATGGAATGCAAGTTTGGTAATAATAGGAGTAGAGACAAGGAAGTAGTTAAGATTGACGACCAAGAAATACCAAAAAGTGTGCACTTTCGATATGTTGGGTCAATAATTCAAGAAAATAGAGAGATTGAGGAAGATGTCGCGCATAGAATTAGAGCTCGGTGGGCAAAGTAGAGGTGTGCGTGCAGAGTTTTATTTAATCGCCGCATACCAATTAGCTGAAGAGCAAGTTCTATAGGACAACTGTGAGACCAACTTTGCTTTATGGGATAGAATGTTGGGTAGTCAATAAACAACATATCCATAGAATGAGTGTAGCTGAGACAAGGATGTTGAGATGGATGAGTGGTAAGACGTGAAGGGATAGAATTCAAAATGAATACATTTGGGAGAATTTAGTTATGGCACCAATAAGCGTTAAGATGAGGTGAGCTAGCCATATATTGCGTTGACTCAGGACAACGCCTATTAGGAGGTGTGAGTTAGTTCAAGTGAAAGGCTAAAAAAAGGTAAGGGATAAGCTTAAAAGAACATGGTTGAAAGTAGTGAGAAAAGACATGGGGACTTATGAACTCACTAAGGGTATGGTCCTTAATAGAGCATAATGACGGACCAGAATTCGTGTAGGTGACCCCAATTAATTGAGAAGAGACTCTTACGATGGTGATGATGAGACAATGCATTTGATTGAATGGGAATTTATGTTCCCATATACTAGAGGTGATAGATTACTATCGCTACAAGCGTTGAGAGGGGTGATAGCCAGTTTTTGGGCATATAAGCATTTAGATGGCTACGATTTTTGCTATCCACATTAAAGAGGCCATTTCTTCTACATGTTATTCTCCCCCAATCTGGGGAGAAAATGACAAATTTGGAACAGATTTGTCTTAACACTTCAGTCTTGGATATGGGATACTTGTTAAGATGCATTGCTTGCAAAATTTCACTTGGAGGAGGTATATGGATTTGTGCGCTGCAATTCTTTGTTCTAAATAACTGCCGTTGCCAGCCCCCTGTTGGTCATTTTGGTCCGAAGCCCGGGTAAACGAGGAGGTTTGTGTTAGATAGGCAGCCAACGTTATACTTTTCCACGTCTTTTTAATTCTTTGTTCTAAATTATGGACTGGATGGAATTTGATAAGAAGATGAGCCAGATTGGAGTATGGCCTCTTGATGCCTTTGAAATTTTTGTATCATGAACAAGACCTCAAGAGACTTGGAAGCTTGAGGGATCTGATACCAAGATCTCATCTCTCCTTTCATGGTTATAATTTGTTAGTTCTGCCTTAGCTAACATTTGTTTTACTCTTTTTCCATACTGAAGACTCCCGTGCTTTCAGCTGGCTGATCACGGATGATGTCCTGGTATTTATTTGGAGCAAAAGGCGCATGCGTGATGGCTGTCTCAAGGACATATATTTTGTTAGAGGGATGTTTTCTCCATTATGCCACGGCTAGTGTGACCATGCAACTTTACTCCATCAGAACATTAGTCAACGAAGAACCACTTGTTACTAAGCCATTGTGGATGATGTGATTTTAACTTCTGGGCTTATTGAGGATGGTTCTTGTATACGAATGGTTGATGCATGCAACAAAAGTTGGGGACAGTCAAGCAAGTTGTATAGGTTGTCATCTCTGATCATATAACTTCTGGATGTTCTCTCTTGTAGTTGTCAGTTCTCTATAGGACAAGTACTGCATCACTTTACATATTTATCTTTTTTTTTTTGGTAGGTAGCATGAGTATGGTCTTTAATTCAAAACTAAATGGGCAGCCAAATAGGATAAAATGTACTGCTTCAAACTCTTGCACCAAGGAAGGACATTCTCACTCGTCTATAAATCAAAATACTAAAGGTTTTGATCATAGAACTCAAGTGCATCATACATCCCTGGCAGCCTAACCTTGCAGCATTCTGGCTTGTAATGCATCAAACACGGTGGTGCTTAGTGAATTCACCTTTCTTTGATTTCATTCTTTCCCCTGAGATCTCATCTTGTGTGATTGTCGTGAACTCCATACGTCTCCAACTTCACTTAATACTCTCACCATACAAACAAACCTTTAAACAGAAATCTGAACCGATGAACAGGTGTTGGAGTTTACATGAGACAGGGGAGTCTTGATGCATCATGAAATCAGCATGATATCAGGTAGATGTTGGCATTGCTAATAGCTGAGTTTATGGAAACATATCACCAGTAATTCTTATGAAAGATTTTGAAGGATTTTAGGTGTAGGCTATGGAAGTTAAATCGGGTTTTCAAGCATTTGGGTTTATTTGTCATCTTAGTCAAACATTAGGGCAAGTTGTTTTTTTTTTGAGTTGCAAAGATGCAGAATCAGGCTTTGAGGACTTGAGGTTTTTTAAAAGTTACTTTTGAGTTGTTATGATCAGAAATTATGGAAGACTGATTATTAAAGGGCCTTGTTGCAAGGATTCGTGAATATGTAAGGGCCAATTTGGAAACAAATGCAGAACATGTGTCCACCATGAGTTTAGTGTGGAGTGGTAATGTCACACCCCAAGTTTTATAATACTAAAATTCTTGAGATGTGACAGCCTATTCCTAAAGCATAAAACAAAATTGAAATTTTTACTATATATTGCACCGAAACGAATTTTTCCATTCAGAAACTCTCAGACTTCTATTCACAACTTATATTAACATGAAGGTATATATATATAGATATATATATATATATATATATATACAATTTTGATAGATTAAGAGTTACAAAAGAGAATTTATTCACGACTACAAACTTCTTCAAGGTTACTCCTGCTGTACAATCAATCCATGAGGCTGCAATTACTCTGAAAAGAATTCACAATAGTTTGATGAGTTTGACTACTCAGTAAATGACCATCATAATCCTTGAAAATCAAGGTTGGAAAATGTAAATATTTTCTAAAAGAATGCCTATTAAGCAGAAATTCGACGTCTTGATTTCATGCATTCTAATACATGTTATTTGACATATTCATTTCTAGTTTTACACATATCATGAATTCCTTACTGGACAAATAAGATAAACATGATACATAAACCATATGCACATGATTCATATCACGATCAACAATAATCTAAATTTAGTAGTTTAAAACATTACTATGTGATGATATTATTTGACCATGCAATTGGGTTGAGGGGAAAGTTTACGAGGAATGAAGGTGAGATGAACCATCAGGTCTAGAGAGAGAGTGAGTTGCAGGTAAAGGGAATGGTGGGGTTTCTGTAACATGATTAAGACGTAAATCCTCATAGTGTGCACGTACATGAGATGGAAGATGGCATTCATGCTTAGTTTTCACAGCATAATAGATGTGTCAAGCAGCTAAGACAATTGAATAAAAGCCTGCCACATCATAAGGCAATGTAAAAAAGAGAGCAAAGAGGACGAGTGGTCCTCTTGGGCCATACTATGAAAATGGCTCACAAAAAACAAAAATGAAATTGTTATTTTGAAACACTTTAAGGAAAGCTAACAGGATTTGTAAACTAATGGTCCCATGGTGTATTATTAACACGATGGACTATTATTCAAAAATGATTTCTTCATATAAATATTATGTTCGTTTTATTATTATTATTATTATTTTAGTTTAAACATTTTAGGGTCATCACAGGTAAGTAGTTAACTCCCACAAGGAAAGAGCCATTGTAGTACATCCCATGAGAAAGTTTATTATCCCCTCCAGTCCATGAGTAGTTATCATGGGAACCTCAGCCCAGGTGACAGGAGGGCATTATCAGGTATGTGGATGGGAATGTGGTTGATATTTCTTGTCATTGTAAGGGCCACTGGGTGTATGCCATGTTGCTCTCTAGATGCGGCCAATCCATTTCTCAAAGGTCTTAAACCTTGCCCACAAGAGGAGCTCATTTAATTAGGTCATGGTGATAGTCGAAATGTGATCCAGTGGGCAAGAATGGTGGATACGATCCTATGAAAGTTTTGTACTTTACTTTTTATGGCATGTTTTATTTATGTTCTTTAGGTCCATCTTTTTCATGTGCTTGAGGAGGTCTAATATTGTTGATGCGCTGGTAAATAATGTTACTCGCTGGTCTAAATTTTCTCCTGGGTCTCAGTAGGTACAGGTAGATCAAGTTTGTTGTTGTGTTGCAATTCGTCAATTACATGATGGCATGTTGAGCTGCACATGAATTCAGAAATACAAAACAAAAATTATAACAGTTTATGATGTGATCCCCTCCCTTCTTAAAAAGAAAAGTTTCAAGATTCCGTGGAAGTTCAGATATGTTTGATATTCAAAGAGCACATCCAAGCCCTTTTCAAATTGATTGTATTTCTAATTCTCTCTAGAAATAAGGGAATATCACTTGGCCTGGTACAAGTCTTGCTATGGTATCTGAAAGGACTATGTGGTCTAGCACAATATGTATAGTTTAAAAATTTTCATTGTCTTTTGCAATACTGGCTAGATCACTTAGATATGTCAAAAAAATACAGCTTTAATTTAGAGAAATAAACCTTAATAAAATCTAGTTTATCTTCTCTTACAATAAAACAAAAATACAATACATGAATCAAGAAAACATGGAGCCATTAGAATTACCAAATACCTTGCCTTAGGTTACCCCCAAGGACTTTGTACACTCTACACCGGGTCTCCTCCACCAATGGCGCACGGATCTATGTTTTTCTTGAATCTCACAGAACTTGGGAAGCTTGGCTAAACCCTTCTATGAAGTATGAGAGCATGTGGAACAAAGCAAGGGCTTCACCCTTGATCTACTATGTGGGGGCGTGCCCACTAATAGGTCAACCAAACCTAGGGAGTGCCCCCCTTTTTCTTTTATTTTTGTAACTCTTTTGTGATGGGGAGAGAGAGAGAGAGAGAGAGAGAGAGAGAGAGAGAGAGAGAGAGAGAGAAGAGAGAGAGAGAGA